GGGTCAACAGTGGGAGGGCTTCTAATGTCCTGGCCCCACTGGTGGACCTCCCAATGGCACCTGGTATTTCTGGCCACTGTGTGACAGAGTGTTCGACTGGATGGGCCTTTGGCCTGATCCAACATTGGCACCTCTTATGTTCACCCTCTGAGCAGTGGAGCCTTGTGAGCAAAAATTCTACTTTGTGAGCTACCGGCATTCAAGTTGTGAGTGAGCGATTTGGCTACTGCATAAATTAGTTTGCTCTGGAGCCCTCCTTCCTGAGCCAAGACAAAAATGGGTGAGCCGGAGGCTAGAAAACTGTGAGCAGGCTCACACAAACTCAGCTTAGAGGGAGCACTGCTCCAGAGCAGCCCCAAAGTCACCTGCTGGAGAAAAGAGCATTCTTCTTGCCTCTGGCATGGCTGCCGCACTCCCCATCTGGAGCCAACCTGGAAACCTGCTGGCCTGTGACCCGGAAGCAAAAGAAAGCTTTTGTCTTGCCTTTCCTTCCGGGCAGCAGGTAGTAGGGGCAGGAGAAAGGGATCATCCGCTTGTTCCATTCCTCCCTGCCTCCTGCCTTCCCCCCCGGCCACATGTACTACTCCACTTGCAGGTCTTTGCTTCAAGTCAGAGACGGGGCACCATGCCCCTTGTAAGCCACCCTGAACCCGCTTGCGGGGAGGGCGGGGTAAAAATGTCTAAATAAATAAATAAATAAAATAAATGAGGTAGGACACAGCACCATGCCAGCGCTGCTGTATCCGTACAATCCCCTCCTTTCTTTTTCCTTTGCTGCAGACTCCGAAAGGAAGGCTGAACGAGTCTGAATACGGGAATATCTCCTACCCACCTTCCCAGAAGGCCTCACACACGAAAGCATCGCGGCAGTCCTCCAAGTAAGTGACAAGGCAACGGGGGCATCTGCTAGATAGCGTTCACACAAACACACGCGACAAAGATGAACAATTCAGCCTGTCAAAAGTGTGTGTGTGTGGGGGGGGGTAGGCTTTGGCAGGGTCGGTTCTCCAGCATTGTCATAATGAGGAGGGCAACAACACGCCACAGGGATGTCATCGGTGTCATGGAAGAGGACTGGCCTTTGAGAACTTTGAAATGGGATGATTGGGGGTACTGTTTCTAGACAGTTAAATTTAAGATTTAAAGAAAAAGAAAAGTAATATAAATGTTTGACTCAGTTTATAATAATCTAAATGAGATGAAGATTTGTTGTAACTAAGCTAGTGAGGA